GGGAGAGCATGTACGTGCTGTCTGGCATGGGAGAGCATGTACGTGCTGTCTGGCATGGGAGAGCATGTACGTGCTGTCTGGCATGGGAGAGCATGTACGTGCTGTCTGGCATGGGAGAGCATGTACGTGCTGTCTGGCATGGGAGAGCATGTACGTGCTGTCTGGCATGGGAGAGCATGTACGTGCTGTCTGGCATGGGAGAGCATGTACGTGCTGTCTGGCATGGGAGAGCATGTACGTGCTGTCTGGCATGGGAGAGCATGTACGTGCTGTCTGGCATGGGAGAGCATGTACGTGCTGTCTGGCATGGGAGAGCATGTACGTGCTGTCTGGCATGGAGAGCATGTACGTGCTGTCTGGCATGGGAGAGCATGTACGTGCTGTCTGGCATGGGAGAGCATGTACGTGCTGTCTGGCATGGGAGAGCATGTACGTGCTGTCTGGCATGGGAGAGCATGTACGTGCTGTCTGGCATGGGAGAGCATGTACGTGCTGTCTGGCATGGGAGAGCATGTACGTGCTGTCTGGCATGGGAGAGCATGTACGTGCTGTCTGGCATGGGAGAGCATGTACGTGCTGTCTGGATGGGAGAGCATGTACGTGCTGTCTGGCATGGGAGAGCATGTACGTGCTGTCTGGCATGGGAGAGCATGTACGTGCTGTCTGGCATGGGAGAGCATGTACGTGCTGTCTGGCATGGGAGAGCATTTACGTGCTGTCTGGCATGGGAGAGCATGTACGTGCTGTCTGCATGGGAGAGCATGTACATGCTGTCTGGCATGGGAGAGCATGTACGTGCTGTCTGGCATGGGAGAGCATTTACGTGCTGTCTGGCATGGGAGAGCATGTACATGCTGTCTGGCATGGGAGAGCATGTACGTGCTGTCTGGCATGGGAGAGCATGTACGTGCTGTCTGGCATGGGAGAGCATGTACGTGCTGTCTGGCATGGGAGAGCATGTACGTGCTGTCTGGCATGGGAGAGCATGTACGTGCTGTCTGGCATGGGAGAGCATTCGTGCTGTCTGGCATGGGAGAGCATTATGGATATGACGTGCTGTCTGGCATGGGAGAGCATGTACGTGCTGTCTGGCATGGGAGAGCATGTACGTGCTGTCTGGCATGGAGAGCATGTACGTGCTGTCTGGCATGGGAGAGCATGTACGTGCTGTCTGGCATGGGAGAGCATGTACGTGCTGTCTGGCATGGGAGAGCATGTACGTGCTGTCTGGCATGGGAGAGCATGTACGTGCTGTCTGGCATGGGAGAGCATGTACGTGCTGTCTGGCATGGGAGAGCATGTACGTGCTGTCTGGCATGGGAGAGCATGTACGTGCTGTCTGGCATGGGAGAGCATGTACGTGCTGTCTGGCATGGGAGAGCATGTACGTGCTGTCTGGCATGGGAGAGCATGTACGTGCTGTCTGGCATGGAGAGCATGTACGTGCTGTCTGGCATGGGAGAGCATGTACGTGCTGTCTGGCATGGGAGAGCATGTACGTGCTGTCTGGCATGGGAGAGCATGTACGTGCTGTCTGGCATGGGAGAGCATGTACGTGCTGTCTGGCATGGGAGAGCATGTACATGCTGTCTGGCATGGGAGAGCATGTACGTGCTGTCTGGCATGGGAGAGCATTTACGTGCTGTCTGGCATGGGAGAGCATGTACGTGCTGTCTGGCATGGGAGAGCATGTACGTGCTGTCTGGCATGGGAGAGCATTACGTGCTGTCTGGCATGGGAGAGCATGTACGTGCTGTCTGGCATGGGAGAGCATGTACGTGCTGTCTGGCATGGGAGAGCATGTACGTGCTGTCTGGCATGGGAGAGCATGTACGTGCTGTCTGCATGGAGAGCATGTACGTGCTGTCTGGCAATGGAGAGCATGTACGTGCTGTCTGGCATGGGAGAGCATTTACGTGCTGTCTGGCATGGGAGAGCATGTACATGCTGTCTGGCATGGGAGAGCATGTACGTGCTGTCTGGCATGGGAGAGCATTACGTGCTGTCTGGCATGGAGAGCATGTACGTGCTGTCTGGCATGGGAGAGCATGTACGTGCTGTCTGGCATGGGAGAGCATGTACGTGCTGTCTGGCATGGGAGAGCATGTACGTGCTGTCTGGCATGGGAGAGCATGTACGTGCTGTCTGGCATGGGAGAGCATGTACGTGCTGTCTGGCATGGGAGAGCATGTACGTGCTGTCTGGCATGGGAGAGCATGTACGTGCTGTCTGGCATGGGAGAGCATGTACGTGCTGTCTGGCATGGGAGAGCATGTACGTGCTGTCTGGCATGGGAGAGCATGTACGTGCTGTCTGGCATGGGAGAGCATTTACGTGCTGTCTGGCATGGGAGAGCATGTACGTGCTGTCTGGCATGGGAGAGCATGTACGTGCTGTCTGGCATGGGAGCATGTACGTGCTGTCTGGCATGGGAGAGCATGTACGTGCTGTCTGGCATGGGAGAGCATGTACGTGCTGTCTGGCATGGGAGAGCATGTACGTGCTGTCTGGCATGGGAGAGCATGTACGTGCTGTCTGGCATGGGAGAGCATGTACGTGCTGTCTGGCATGGGAGAGCATGTACGTGCTGTCTGGCATGGGAGAGCATGTACGTGCTGTCTGGCATGGGAGAGCATGTACGTGCTGTCTGGCATGGGAGAGCATGTACGTGCTGTCTGGCATGGGAGAGCATGTACGTGCTGTCTGGCATGGGAGAGCATGTACGTGCTGTCTGGCATGGGAGAGCATGTTACGTGCTGTCTGGCATGGGAGAGCATGTACGTGCTGTCTGGCATGGGAGAGCATGTACGTGCTGTCTGGCATGGGAGAGCATGTACGTGCTGTCTGGCATGGGAGAGCATGTACGTGCTGTCTGGCATGGAGAGCATGTACGTGCTGTCTGGCATGGGAGAGCATGTACGTGCTGTCTGGCATGGGAGAGCATGTACGTGCTGTCTGGCATGGGAGAGCATGTACGTGCTGTCTGGCATGGGAGACATGTACGTGCTGTCTGGCATGGGAGAGCATGTACGTGCTGTCTGGCATGGGAGAGCATGTACGTGCTGTCTGGCATGGAGAGCATGTACGTGCTGTCTGGCATGGGAGAGCATGTACGTGCTGTCTGGCATGGGAGAGCATGTACGTGCTGTCTGGCATGGGAGAGCATTACGTGCTGTCTGGCATGGGAGAGCATGTACATGCTGTCTGGCATGGGAGAGCATGTACGTGCTGTCTGGCATGGGAGAGCATGTACGTGCTGTCTGGCATGGGAGAGCATGTACGTGCTGTCTGGCATGGGAGAGCATGTACGTGCTGTCTGGCATGGGAGAGCATGTACGTGCTGTCTGGCATGGGAGAGCATGTACGTGCTGTCTGGCATGGGAGAGCATGTACGTGCTGTCTGGCATGGGAGATCATGTACGTGCTGTCTGGCATGGGAGAGCATGTACGTGCTGTCTGGCATGGGAGAGCATGTACGTGCTGTCTGGCATGGGAGAGCATGTACGTGCTGTCTGGCATGGGAGAGCATGTACGTGCTGTCTGGCATGGGAGAGCATGTACGTGCTGTCTGGCATGGAGAGCATGTACGTGCTGTCTGGCATGGGAGAGCATGTACGTGCTGTCTGGCATGGGAGAGCATGTACGTGCTGTCTGGCATGGGAGAGCATGTACGTGCTGTCTGGCATGGGAGAGCATGTACGTGCTGTCTGGCATGGGAGAGCATGTACGTGCTGTCTGGCATGGGAGAGCATTTACGTGCTGTCTGGCATGGGAGAGCATGTACGTGCTGTCTGGCATGGGAGAGCATGTACGTGCTGTCTGGCATGGGAGAGCATGTACGTGCTGTCTGGCATGGGAGAGCATGTACGTGCTGTCTGGCATGGGAGAGCATGTACATGCTGTCTGGCATGGGAGAGCATGTACGTGCTGTCTGGCATGGGAGAGCATGTACGTGCTGTCTGGCATGGGAGAGCATGTACATGCTGTCTGGCATGGGAGAGCATGTACGTGCTGTCTGGCATGGGAGAGCATGTACGTGCTGTCTGGCATGGGAGAGCATGTACGTGCTGTCTGGCATGGGAGAGCATGTACGTGCTGTCTGGCATGGGAGAGCATGTACGTGCTGTCTGGCATGGGAGAGCATGTACGTGCTGTCTGGCATGGGAGAGCATGTACGTGCTGTCTGGCATGGAGAGCATGTACGTGCTGTCTGGCATGGGAGAGCATGTACGTGCTGTCTGGCATGGGAGAGCATGTACGTGCTGTCTGGCATGGGAGAGCATGTACGTGCTGTCTGGCATGGGAGAGCATGTACGTGCTGTCTGGCATGGGAGAGCATGTACGTGCTGTCTGGCATGGAGAGCATGTACGTGGGCATGTACGTGCTGTCTGGCATGGAGAGCATGTACGTGCTGTCTGGCATGGGAGAGCATGTACGTGCTGTCTGCATGGGAGAGCATGTACGTGCTGTCTGGCATGGGAGAGCATGTACGTGCTGTCTGGCATGGGAGAGCATGTACGTGCTGTCTGGCATGGGAGAGCATGTACGTGCTGTCTGGCATGGGAGAGCATGTACGTGCTGTCTGGCATGGGAGAGCATGTACGTGCTGTCTGGCATGGGAGAGCATGTACGTGCTGTCTGGCATGGGAGAGCATGTACGTGCTGTCTGGCATGGGAGAGCATGTAGTGCTGTCTGGCATGGGAGAGCATGTACGTGCTGTCTGGCATGGGAGAGCATGTACATGCTGTCTGGCATGGGAGAGCATGTACGTGCTGTCTGGCATGGGAGAGCATGTACGTGCTGTCTGGCATGGGAGAGCATGTACGTGCTGTCTGGCTCTTTTACATGTGTCAAACCAGGTTGTACCAGATGGGTGCATGTCAGTTTTAGGTGAGATCTTGATCATCACATGCTCTTTATCTCCTCTATTCCCAGTTATGTCTCATGTGTTTCCTCCTGTTGTTTTCTCCCCCTCTGCCCTTGGCTTACACATGGAAGACCCAGGATAGAATGGAAGGGCTGTACGGCAGGTTTGGGGCGGCATTTCAGGGAGGCGATTTGGCTGCATGCGTAGGGTTGCTGCATCGCATGGCTTATTTTCAGCGAGTGGCCAATGAGATTAACAATAGACTGCACTCTATGTAAGGTTAAGGCGATATTGAAGAGGTTTGTTGAATCATCAGAGCATTTCAGAAGTTGCTTATGTGTTTTGTGATGCACTAGAATAGAATCTGGCTTGCATTCATAAAAAATTAATGCGACCAGAAACTGCGGTTGTCGACGGTTCTCAACAGAAAGTACTCCTCATGAGTGTATATACTGCTTGGCTACTGCCAGGCCTCAGGATATCAGGGTAAAATACCCTTATGGCCCCTACTATAAGGCTGGGGTTGGTGTTGGACCTTTATTTTAAAAGTGGTTTAGTTTTGGACCTTTATGAAGAAAACTAATATTTGTACCGGACCCTGATTTTCAAAAGTGGTGTAGCGTTAGCACCCTGATGCAGAAAAGTGCCTGTACAAAATACCCTGATGTGATTCTACATGCAGGCCCCTCGTTTGGGGGCAACATTTTTCCCCCGAGTCACGCCGCAATCAGCGCCATTACTGCTTTGTGCTGGCGCACGTCGACGAGAATGCTCCTGCGAGTCAAAGACAAACGAATCTGTGTCAGGGGTCGCAGTGTCAAACATATGTATAACATATATTGGTATAGACTGTATAGGGTCACCTTGTAGAGGGTACAACACTCCTAGGTATATACCCTTGTTGTCTCTCTCTATTCAACACTTGTTAAATTTTAATTTCTGACATGGTATCATCCGTAGGTTCGACCCTTCCCACATACCGCTTCCGCCCGTGCCTCCAAGGCCCCGTCGCGCGTTCAACTAGGCCCCGTCGCGCCGCCCCCCCCTAGGCCCCGTCGCGCCCCTCCTGGGCCCCTGCCGCGCCTCCTATACCTTGTCACGCCCCTACTGGGCTATAACGCGCCTCCTAGCCTGTCGAGCCCCTCCTGGGCCCCTGCCGTGCCTCCTAGCCTGTCGCGCCCCCACCTAGGCCCCTTTAGCGCCTCCTAGCCAGTCGCGCCCCCCTTGGGCCCCGTTAGCGCCTCCTAGCCTGTCGCGCCCCTCCTGGGCCCCCCCGTGCCTCCTAGCACCCATCGCGCCTGCCTGGCCCCACCGCGCCTGCCTGGCCTCGTCGCGCCTCCCTGGCCCCGCCGCGCCTGCCTGGCCCCGCCGCGCCTGCCTGGCCCCGTCGTGCCTCCCTGGCCCCGCCGCGCCTGCCTAGCCCCGCCGCGCCTGCCTGGCCCAGTCGCGCCTCCCTGGCCCCGCCGCGCCTCCCTGGCCCCGGTGTGCCTGCCTGGCTCCGCCGCCCCTGCCTCGCCCCGCCGCGCCTGCCTGGCCCCGCCGCGCCTGCCTGGCCCCGCCGCGCCTCCCTGGCCCCGCTGTGCCTGCCTGGCTCCGCTGCCCCTGCCTGGCCCCACCGCGCCTGCCTGGCCCCGTTGCGCCTGCCTGGCCCCGCCGTCTCTGCCTGGCCCCGCCGCGCTTGCCTGGCCCTGCCACGCCTCCTGGCCCCACCGCGCCTGCCTCGCCCTGCTGCGCCTCCTGGTCCCGCCGCACCTGCCTGGCTCCGACGCGCTGCCTGGCCCCGCCGCGCCTCCTGGCCCCGCGGCCCCTGCCTGCTCGTCGCGCCTGCCTGGCCCTGCCGCGCCTCCTGGACCCGTCGCCCCTGCCTGGCCCCGTCGCGCCTGCCTGGCCCCCGCCCCGCCTGCCTGGCCCCGCCAGCACCTGCCTGGCCCCACCGCACCTGCCGTGCCCCCCTCGGGCTCCGTCTCCTCTGCTCGCCCGTGCTGAGGCGCTTCGTGGCCGCCGTGCTGGAAGGGAGCTGCCGCTGTGTTCCTGTGGAGCTGTGCCGCTGACCCTGCACGATGGCGGACTTCGTGCTCCGACTGGATGCCGAGGGCCATGCGGTTGACTTCGCCGCCTGGCTCTCCGATCTCCGCCGCCACCTTACAGGTCAGCGCCAGGATGGCCACTCTTTGGTCGTCCATGTTGACGGCTTGCTCCCCCGCCCCCCCGCACCTGCTTCCCTCCCTGCTGATCCCTCCTCTGCTGACCGTGAGACCTTCTCTAGTGCTGCGCTTGCCTGTGCGGTCTGGGACTCCCGAGATGCAGTCGCTCAGGTTGCCATTAGCCACGCCCTCCCTGTCTCTGAGCGCTCGCGTTTTGCTGCCATTGAGACGGCCAAAGCTTACTTAGACGCTGTTATTGCTCGCTATTCCACACCCGCGTCTGCTTCTGCTGGTCGCCTGCTCTTCCCTATGCTTTTCCCAGACCTTGCAGCTTTCCCTACCGTCGCAGACTTTGCCACTCACCTGCGTACCCTAGAGACCCGCTATCGCACTGCCAGCACTTCAGCCCAGCTCACTGCGCTCCCCCCCCCTTTCTGCATGACGCTCTATTTTATCGCCATGCGCCTGCCAGACCGCCTCGCTAGTGCTCGCGATCACTTCCTTAGCCTGCACCCGGCTGACCTCACTCTCACCGCCTTTGTTGACACCCTCATCGAGATCGAGACTCGCCAGCGCACTATCGCTCCGTCGAGCGGTGCGCCGGCAGTCTCTATCTTTCACGGCTGTGCCCCCTCCCAGTGCACGTTCACTGACGTCTCGGCTGCGGTCGCCACAGCCACCCCCCTCACTGAGACGGCTGCTGTGGTCCACCCGCAGCAGCGCTCGCGCCGCAGTGGCCGTGGTCGCCAGAGTGGTCGGGGTGGTGGCGCCGGTAGTGGTGTTGGTGGTCGTCAGAGTAGTCCGTCTGGGGGGACTAGCATTGGTGGTCAGGAGCAGCAGCCCCAGCCGCAGCAGGAGCAGCCCGCGCCGCAGCCGCCGTCTCAGCAGCAGCCGCAGTCCCAGCCGCAGCTCCCGCAGCAGTGGGCTCGCCTCCCGTCTGGTTGGCCCGGCACCTCAGGAGGTGGTGGCAGTGGTGGCGGCCCGCGCAGCTTGGCGTCTACCAGCGGCTCCAGTGCTGTGACCTGTCAGTACCAGCTTCAGACCGGGCCCCTTCGCGGCACCCTGTGTCGCCGCCCGCACCCGACTGCTCGCTGTTTCCACCGCCTCGACGATCTCTTTCGTCGTCGCTTTGGCCCGGCCCCGGACCTCCCTGACTGGCACAGCCTGCTCCGCCAGGGCGTGCCGATCTTTGAGTTAGACATGGATCAGATAGGTGCTGCTTTGCATGCTTTGTATTCTGACGCTACTAGTGTTGCTGGATCTTATTATCCTGTGTTCTCTAGTTTAGGTGTTGCACCGCTGTGTAGCCTAGCCTCCCCTGCTGCGTCAGGCGTAGGACTGCCTAGATTGTCTAGCCTCGTCTCTGCACCGGCTCCGTTCCCTGTCCCCGCCACTACGGCGCTGTCCTTCACTCTCGACTCCGGTGCTTCTGCCTGCTTCTTCCGCGACCGTTCTGCGCTCACGCCACTTGCTATGCCAGCTGTCGTCTCTCTCGCTGACCCCTCTGCGGGTCCTGTCGTCGCTCGCAGTTCTACGTCCCTTCCCTATCCAGCAGTTCCCTCGGGCTCCCTTACAGGCCTCCACGTTCCCTCATTCTCGAGGAACCTGGTTGGTGTCGGCTGTCTTCAGGACCTCGGCGTCACCACCACGTTCCCCGGGCACGAGCGGTTCGCTGTCTGTTCTGAGGCTGTCTCAGGTTCCCCCCTTGCGACGTTCCCCCGGGACCCAGTGTCCGGTCTGTTTACCCTAGACAGCGCTTCCCCTCCGGTTAATACGTCCTCCCAGGTTGCTGCAGCTTGCTCGTGTCGTTCCCTCACTCACCTGTCCCTTCTCTGGCACCACCGCTTAGGTCACCCTGCCCTCCCTCGTCTGCGTCACATGACCCAGCACGGTCTTGTCTTAGGTCTCCGTGCGTCGCTCCCTGCCCTTCCTCCCTCGACTGCGCCACCGTGCACGCCTTGCGTCGAGGGCCGCACCAGCAACACCAGCAGTAGTAGCAGCAGCAGCAGTAGTAGTATTTGGCATGGTATAGGATTAGTGCGCTATGCATTGCAATGTGAACATCTATAATGCTAAGCAAATTGATCCAGTTAAGAATGAGTATGGCGTTTGTACACCCTGATGTGGAGAAGCATTTTTTTTAGCACCCTTGTAAACCAAAGTAAAAAAAAAAAAAAAAAAAAAAAAAACACCCTTACAGAAAAAGTAGTCATGGGTTCATACCCTTACATGAAAGACTACTCCAAATCCTATCTAGAGGCCTGGCTACTGCCTTACGCACTTTGTGTCAAACATATATAAGTATGTTAGTATAGACAATATTGGTTTGTGCTGTAGAGGGTACAACACTCTAGACTATATATCCCTGTACTCTCTCTGTCTACTCATTATTCAGTTATAAGATGGTATCAGCAGTAGGTAGGTCCCGCTGCCCTCCCACGCTTCCGCACTCGGTCCTAGCCGCCCCTTCCCCTATGCGCACCCGTTTCCCCCGGCCCCTAGCGCCCGTCCTAGCCGGCCCCTAGCGCCCGTCCTAGCCGGCCCCTCGCACCCGTCCTAGCCGGCCCCCGCGCCCGTCCTAGTCCCCCCCCCCCTCGCGCCCGACCTAGCTGGCCCACGCGCCCGTCCTAGCCGGCCCTCGCGCCTGTCCTGCCGGCCCCTCGAGCACGACCCAGCCGGCCCCCACGCCTGCCCTAGTCGGCCCCTCGTGCTCGTCCTAGCCAGCCCTCGCGCCCGCTCTAGCCGGCCCATGCGCCCGTCCTAGCTGGCACCTCGCGCCCGTCCCAGCCGACCCTCGCGTCCGTCCTGCCGGCCCCTCGCGCCCGTCCTAGCCGGCCCTCGCGCCCGTCCTGCCAGCCCCTCGCGCCCGACCTCGCCGGCCCCCGCGACCGTCCTAGCCAGCCCCTTCGCGTTCGTCCTGCTGGCCCCTCGCGCCCGTCCTACTCGGCCCTCGCGCCCGTCCTGCCGGCCTCCTAGCGCCCGTTCCTAGCAGGCCCGTGCGTCCACCCTAGCCGGCCCCTAGGGCCCATTCTAGCTGGCCCTCGCACCCGCTCTCGTCGGCCCTGCGCTCGCTCCTCGTCGGCCCTGCGCCCGTTCCTCGTCAGCCGACCCGCCGCCGGCCTTCCGCACCACACAGCACCGCCCTGTGCCGCATTGTACCGCTCTGCACTGCATAGCACCGCACTGTACCGCTCTGCACCGCATAGCACCGTGCTGCACTACACTGCTCTGCACCACACAGCACCGTACTGCACCGCTCTGCACCGCACAGCACTGCACTGCACCTGCACAGCGCTGCACCGGTACTACATTGCTCCTGATGGCAAACTCCATGGTCCGCTTCGACGCAGAGGCTCAACCACTCGAGTTTGACACGTGGCTGGTCGACCTCC